AAAGAAAAAGTAATGAAAACAAAAGATTCAGATAAAAATCATAAATTGCAACTTACCATGATGAATACAATTGATGTTAGTAAAAAGGTAAATGATAGATTATTATAAATATTTTGTTCTTTTATACTTGAATCAACGCGAAGAAAAAGGTTTAGCTAATGTGAACCGATTGAAAACGAGGAAGGTAAGATTTCTTTGAGCAATTTCATTAAATGAAAAACAAAAACAAAAACCAAAACCAAAACAAGATTAAAAATACAAGAAAAAAAACTAAAAGTTAAAAATAAAAAGCAGGTGAAAACAAAATTATAAAATAATACAACAAAAAATAATAATAAAAAATGAAAAACAAAAATAAAATAAAATAATGAAATAATAAAATAATGAAATAATAAAATGCTGAAAATTTAGTGTGGAGGATGATTAAATCATTGAATTGTAAATCAGGGAACGTGAATGGTCCCAGACTGGCGGTTGGCATAAAATTGAAGTTATATCGTCGATAACCATAATAGAGAGCTGCTTCCAAACTTCTCACTTGGGCCATTAACCACATGTTGTTCCATGTGGGGTTTCCATTGGTTTGTACTTCTTTTTCAGCATTTCGTATAAATTTCGACATATAGTAGTCTAAAAAATCAGATCCAGCTTTTGTTTGCCAGTCATCCACCATACTGTTTAACATGAAAACCAGCTCCAGAATAGCTTGTCATCAAGCCGTTATTCCTTGGTCAAATCCGGAATTTCCTATGATGAAAAAAAGAAAAAAGATGCAAAATTAATAGTAAAATTGAAATTGATGATTCGATACTTACGCTATTGGAAAGGCCACGCGTTGGTGGAAAGAACATAATCTCCATTTCACAGATCATGATGGATGAAACTTTCTGATATGATTTTTATTGTTTGCTAATTCTTCTTTTATATGATTTTTTTATTGAAGGTACGTGATGAGAATCAAAATGATGATTTATGGAAAAGTTTCAATAATTTCGTAAATGTATCTTATTGATAAATTTGTTAGTAATGTAAGCTTAGAAAAGTTACATTGAATCAAATTTTAAACCGGGCGAGATTAAACAGATTCTAATGATAAATAAGTTTAACGAATCTGAATTAAGATTATTATCTACCGAAAAGATTTGAACTGAATTGAATTTAATACCTTGAGGGTAAATGATAGTAAAGTTAAGTTCCGAGAGAGATTTAAGTTTGATAAAAAAGTTACATTGAAACAACTTCAAGTGAAGGTAAAAGCAAAGTTGATGCATATGCTTAGTTTTAAGTCGAAATCTGTGATCGTAATAAGCAATTATTTGACGATGAACTTGCTGGTTGGCCTTTTCATGATAATTGATTGTTATCAGGACGCTATTGATCATTTCTAGACTATTCACAATTCACTTCACTCTAAGCTTTGAGTAAAATTAAATTTGAATAAATTTACACTTAAGTTAACATTGGTGTGAGAGAGACAATGAACTTTCTGGTGCAAATTTTGATGATGATTAATTGTTGACTAAGGTCTATGCTTTATCTCTGAACTATTTACAAATCAATGAACCCGTAGCTTTGCAAACTTTGCAAGTATCGATTATGATTTTAATGAAAATAGTATTTTCTTCTAAAAATCTTACAAAAAGTTTACAATTTATTTTGTAGAATTTTTTATTTGTTCATCGGTTCTTTCCTCAAAGTGGTACAAATCCATCTTCTTCTGATGCTCTTCAGGAATGGTGAAATCGTCATTTGCAGGTTCATAGTCATCATCATAGCATATTAAGCTAGCCCATGGAAATTTATTAGGTGCAACTGTTTTCCAGCGGTTGGTACACCTCTTTGTCGGTATATTCTCTTCTGTTCGTCTCACGTGACAAGGGACATACCAATATCTCGGCGTTTTATCATTTTTGGTTATTTCTTTTTTACCAAAAAGATGACGTTTCAAATCAGGTAATTCTGACATGGTTACATCACAATAATTACATGAATATTTAAAAGCATCTTCTTTCAACACAAGTTTTTGTCGTTTAACCTCTTCATCATAATCCATTGGGACACTCTTTTTATCAGCAAATTTTTTGAATGTTTCATATGATATTTCTTTTTTCGGGTCTAGATCATCTGGGTCGATTAAATCTGAAATCTTTCTGATCTCATGATATGTCTGCCATGTTAATAACTCATTCTCTGGAGTCAATGTCCACATTTTTGTTTAACAAAGGGCTCAAAAGACCTGGGGCAGCTCGAGCTTTCTGAATAATTTTGTTAAAAAAGCGGATTTATTTGTTGTTAAATCTTCATTGTTATGAGATGCAGGTGACCATGTTTTTTCATAAGTCGGTGAATTGATCGCAGATGTTTATTGCTCGGTTCTTTCAGAGGTGATCGCATTTACCGTGAATGAAGGTTGTCGCACATCATTTTCATTGTGATATTCATTAACTCCATCAGAATTAACTCCATCCGAATTACCTTCGTTACCATTACCTTCATTAACCTCATCATTACCTCCATCATCATTATCATTAGCACCATCTAGTGATGAATAAATAAGAAAAAAAATTATTTTTGACTCAAGTGAGATTCGAACTCAAGTAAACTTGTTAAGCAAGTGATCTAACCACTGAGCTAACTATTTGGAGTTTGAAAAAAATGTAATGTCTATCCTGTTGTTGAGATAAAAAAATGACGTTTGGGGTTTTTTATACAGGGCTATTCAGCTATTTTTACCGATGTTTTTTGCGATTTTCTCAGGAAATAAGAGTCGAAGAGACACGAGATTTGAGTGGTATGAGTTTGAACGATACTCAATTGTCATATCAAAAGATCGAGGTCATTCAGGTCATCGGTAAAATAACACGTTTCAAGGTCATCTGAAGGTAACTCAACAAAAAAAAATATGCAGAGTTAATACTGACAAGTTTTGAGGTTTCTATGAGCTTTGCTTAGCACGTTAGGATAAATTTATTGAATAGAAGATTTTCAACAGTTATTAAATTAAACTGTAATATCTCAAGGTCTGTGACAACAGCGATGTCTAAATTCAATTTTCAGAATTAAAAAATCTGGAGAATAACTGTATCACCTTCAGATGACCTTGAAACGTGTTATTTTACCGATGACCTGAATGACCTTGATCTTTTGATATGACAATTGAGTATCGTTCAAACTCATATCACTCAAGTCTGCGTCTCTCTGACTCTTAGTTGCTGAGAAAATCGCAAAAAAACATCGGTAAAAATAGCTGAATAGCCCTGTATATATGAGGGTCGCCTCACTTCTATCCTCTTAAATAATAACAATGAAAATCACATGAATAATAAAAATAACAAAAGAAAAATGATTTACTTTGATCAATGACTAGGCTTTGTTCTCCTGATCTTCAGTTGAATTCGTTCCGCTTGCTTCCATAGCACAGCCATCACACATGCTGAATAATTATCAAGAATAAAATCAATTAAATAATGAAAAAGCATAACTGATAAATCACTTACCGAAGGTGAGTAGTAATAAAAAAGGAACCTTTTGTTAAAACATAATAGACTAATTGATTTAGTTGTCGACAAAGATTACTTTTCCAAGAAGATTATGAAAATAGAGTGAACTATACAAATTTTTGTTTACAAATGAAACAAGTTTGGCGAGTAACAAAGTTTCAGTAACTTGAAGACAAAATGCGCACTTCTTTTAAATTCAGATAATTAAACTCTTGCTTATTAAAAACGCATCCCTGTTTATTATTAGTATTTTCCCCACTTCCGCTTCTGGCTGAGCCAGAAGATTGGACTAGTTGATGACAATTAATGGATTCACATGAACCCAAGTTCTAATAGAGAGAGAGAGAGAGACGATGTATTGATGTTGGTAAACTGAATCAGCTTCAAAATGGGTGGTGAAAAAGTTCCGATGAATCCAAGTTCCAATCGAGAGAGAGATGTACAATTAATTGAACAAAAAGTTTAAAACTTAAGCACTATTGAACGATATGATCTTTTTCTAATTCACTTAACGAATGATATTTTTCTTCATCGTCCTCTCGCTTTTTATACTCTTTTCACATAAGTCTTCTGATCAAATTCATAACAACAGTTGAACTTCTATTTATTCAATTATTATTTTTTAATTTTTATCTTGTTTAAATTACATGTTTTTCTCGGTACCTTTTACGGTATAAAGTGCCTCTTGGTAAACCAGTTTCTATTTGTTCTGAACCTCATTAAATAACTGTTATTTTTCCTTTTTTCTAAAAAGCAATTAAAAACTAATTAGTGCACCATTTGATTAAATACTTAATGCAGATGCAAAATAGGCACACAAACACTGAAACTAATTTGCATTAGAGGCGTACGCTTCCCTACTACTTATATACAGGGCGTAACAACCAAATATCCGGACTTTTGACGCTTTACCATTTCTAGGCTATTTATTATGTCAGATTTTTTTTCGCAATTCGACAGAGAAAATGTGAAAGTTTTGTTGTGTTCTGATTCAGAACTTTTCTATAAAGCTATTACCGAGCAGTGGCCTCAAAGTCGGAAAAGTGGTACGTTTGAATGAAAAACTTTTTTCGAGAAATTTTTTGCGGCCATTTGATAGTTCTAAAATTATCGAACAAACCGAGCTAATCATCTTTTTGATCTGACTTTTCGTTCAGGAGTAATTGGCATTCAAAGGTACGTACTTATACCGTTGAAATTCACATGAAATTTTGGCCTTTTTTGATTGTCTTGAAATTGAGTCCTAGTAAATTCCTGATGCCGAAATTAGTATTTTAGACAAAAAATTTCATTTCAATGTATTGTAATAGTTTATTGATAATTAATAGTAGTATAGTTTTATTAATTGATAATATAGTTTATGATTGTTCCAGTTAAATGATCACTTGATGTTCATAGCTGTTTAATGATAAATGGTGTCCAGTTAATTGTGTTTGTTTAAATTATAGGATCACCTGAGACAAAACATTTAATACATTTAATATTATGATAATTGTTTGATCACTTTCTCTTTGGTTACCCTTTGATTTTTTGGTCTTTGATTAGGATAAAATTAGATATTAAAACTTTTTCATTTCGTTGGTTTCCTTAGGTTTGGGCTTACCAATCACTTTTTTACAATAATAAGGAAGAGCTAAACTAATTATCACATAAAGAATGGACATTGCCCCAAGATAATAAGTAAAAATTATCGGTTTAGTTTCAATGAATTTTGATAAAATTGTAGTGTGAATGGTTTCACCAATAACACCATTGACAAAGATATAAGAAGTCATTGCGTTTGTGATTGGAAAGTATTTCCCCAATGATCCATAAGAGATTGAGAATACTGGTGAATAGCCAATTCCAAGTAAAACAAATGCAATCCAAGTGAATGTTGATTGAGATGCCGCTTTTGGTACTAGAACAAAGGTACCAGCGAGTATTATGAAAAGATTCATCACAAAGAGACGACCTTCCTTGATAAATAAGGTCATTGGAATAAAAATTAATCGATAAAATGAAAACATGGACCAAAATACTGTCGCTATTAAAACCGCCGTCTTTTTGTCCATCTTTATATCAGCTTTAACCGCGAATGCAGTACACAAATTACCTATTAGTTTATGATGAATAAAAATAGAGTAAAGATTAATAGACCAATAGCATATTTGAAGTGATTATCAGAATACTTGCCCACTACAGTTTCAGTTCCAAATGCGAAATTAGCGAGAATTCCGGTCATTATAACTGCACAGAGCTTCTTGGTTGTGCTTGCATTGGATTGGATTTCTTCAGCTTTTGGTTCAGCTGAGTTTTCACTGTTTGTCTTTCGATCATGTAAGTAACAGAAAAAGAATGGAATTGAAACGATAAACAGCATTCCACCAACAATCATGAATGAATATTGAACTTTTACATCTTCAGGTGTATATTGATTAGTTTGGGTTGAATTGACGCTGGTACCATTTGCTAGAATTACATTTGTATCATCTGATTCTGTGTTAGGTAATAGAAAAGGTCGAGTAAAAATCGGTGTAATCAAAGCACCAACACCGAAACACATATGAAGAACCTGAAGCCAATTGACTCCATGTTTACCCCAAATCCTTAAGATGATCACATTACAGTCTAGAGAAAAAAATGTAGAAAAAATTAAATATGATTAAATATGATCCTTATCGATGATATATTGAGATTTAAAATTTAAGAAAAAATTGTGCATACAGATATCCAAAACCCCTTGGGCAAATCCAGAAATGATAATACTTGCAAATATCAATTCGATGATATTGAACCATGGAGCAAGAATTAGGAAAAGACCAGCAATAAAATTAGATATTGAAAGGATTAGATAATCGTCTATACGTTTCTCATAGAGACCACCTATGGATTATCAGTAATTAGATTAGTGTTTCAATCAATCAGTTGATAACAAGATAAAAATTACTTACAAGATGAAGCTCCAAGTACATAGCCGATTGCACGAGCTGGAATAAGTTTCGAGACTGTTGAAAATGAGGTTTGAACTTTAATCTGAAGATCGAGTAATGAACTGCCTATCAAAGTGTTGACCCCTCCATGACCAGAGAAGGTCAAATAAGTTAATAAAGTTTTAAAGATTTTATATTTATTTGTCTTAACGAATTTAATCAATTCCATTTTTAATTACGTATTGTTAACAATAAGATATCCAATTGAGTGTTTTAAAATTAAATATTCACAAAATGTTGACAAGATCACAGTTGAACACTTTGAGCTCAACAAGTTTCAGTGAAAAAACAATGAGATTTAATTACAATTAATACGGAAAAGATTATAATTTCAATCACAATTGTGAATGTTGATCATGTTAAATGATGATTATATTGGTTAAGGTGAAACTTTAAATCAAAAGGATTTTCAATGAGCATCTTCATTAAAATGATGATCATGATTAGATTTGAATCTCTCGGCAGTGGCCTCAGAATATCATTTGTTAATCACTGAAAGGATAAAATGAGACAAACACAAGTAATTACAAATGATTGATGATAATCAACTGGTATTTCTCATTTCGTATGTAAACAATTAAGATAAATAAGTTAAGATGATGTGTTACAAGCTTAATTGATGCAATTACCGAAACAATAAAGTATTAAAAGTTACTTGTTAATCATTTCAAGAGGTAGACTAAAACGTTCAAATGATTAGATATTAATCAACAATTTAATGGCGATTAAGGGTTACGTGTCTTAGTCAAAATGTAATTACGTATACAATGTATTAAATGTAAGATTATTATCATGTAAGATCGTGTTTGTTAGTTTACCGGAGATTGACAACAAATAAATTGAGTTCATTATAATGATAAGAAATTTTCAATGTCATAATCTGAAACAATCAATTAGTTTTGATTGTCATTTTCCGTGTGGTTGTAAATCTTCTGGGTCTTATGTGGTCATTTCTTTGAATGTCACAATTGAAACTCTAGTTGATTGTTTTCATTTGGATATAATAAATAACAAATAAGACTTTAATCAACTTTCCCTCAGGTCAAACTAATCAATTTATATTCAAAGGTACTAACAGATATGGTTGATCTGAAAGCAGTAAAAAGAATTGGGCTAGATTTGAGTTCTCTTGTCAAATGTTCATTGTTTGTTTGTCTGTTTCAAGGGTCCACATCCAATTCTGAGTCTTCAATGGTCAACTGACAATTGTTTCCTTCTAACTTCAGTAAATGATAACAATTATCAAGAGTTGATAATTTGTAAGTGGATTAGTTTGTTTTCAATTCCATTGAGCTTTTAAAAACAAATATTGATTGGATTGGTGATTTTAAATTTGTTCTTTGATACTTTTTTACTCTGTTTAGGGGATCTTCCAAATTTTAGATATCTAACTGGAATATCTTCATCATCTGAAAATCTTAAATGGCATGAGGCAACTTGTTCCGGAGGTGAAGATGTAAGAGGTATTTGGGATAATCACAATATCAACGAAGTGATCAATGTTTGTTGTCATTGTTCACCCAATGGAAAGTATCTGGTCACTGGCGATGAAGATGGTCACATTCGTCTATTTTCATATCCATGTTCTGATCCAATGGTGAGTGAATTCAATAACAAATGTTCATGATAAATTGTTTCCTTTTTCTTCCGAAATCAACAGGCTGCTTTTTACATGAGAAAACAAGGATCAACTGGAGTGGTGGAAGCTCGTTTTCTTTCAGATAATTCATCTCTGGTAACAGCTAATTTTGATGGAACACTTTTCCTTTGGAACCTTTATGATGTCCTTTGAATTTAATCCCCATTTCCATGAAATCTCTACAAATTTTTGTGAAATGGCAACGATCATACCAGTATCCTGTCCTCTGGTAGAATTCATTTGGATATACCAATTACAATGGAATCGAATTATAATCAAATAATGCGAATTAAATTACACTCTTAGAAAATGGAGTGTTGAATATTCAATTCTAATCTGGTTTTCCATTTAGAAACATCCAACGATTCTGATTAAATTCAAAGATCATGAGATTATTGGGACTGTCCTAATTATCTGGTGACAAGAGGAAAATAGCTAATTGATCAAAACTGTAACAAAATAATGTGAAAAAAAAAATCATAATGGATAGAAATTTTCGCATACAAGATAAAAAATTACCATTTCTGCATCAGGTTGATTATTTTCAATTGTTAATTCTTTCTTGTTGTTGAAGAAACTGGACAATTAACAGAAAACAAGCAAGTTGCGGGTCATATTTCAAAAAGATGTTGGAAAAATACCTATAAGGTTAAACGATCATCCAACAGCAAATAAACAAAGTGATCCGATGAAACCATTACTAATAATAGAAGACGTTAAAGGCCAATCAATGAGTTAATTGTTGACCATAAGATAAAGTAACAACTTACTGTTGAGACGATTGTGGAGACAAAGAGCAAAAAATATTAGCAGTTAATCATCAGGGATAATAAACGTTGGTTAAATCAGAAGAAGAGAAACAAACAATTAAAATCCCAAGACGATAGTTCGTGTGTTACAATTAGAAGATGGAATTAGAAAGAGTTCATCAGAAGAAGAGAGACGGAAAAGTTGAACACACTAATTAACAGAAATCGTAAATAAAAGATGAGACAATCAATAAGAAAAGTTTAAATATTTTCTTAAACAATTAAGGTTTAGAAAAATTTAAATGGAAGAAAAAAATTCGAATTCCAATTGGTTGTTAATCTTATCGATAGATGGAGTTACTTTTTTCTCTTTCTTCGCTTAACATTTTCAACCAATCAAAAGGAAGAATAAAAAAACTTGAAACTCTTTGGGAAGAAAACAAATTCATTGTTATTGTTTTAATCTTTTTTTTGATTACGATTTTTTAATCACTGAGATAATTTTAATTCTATCAATTTTTAACCTTTTCAATTCTTAATTCACCGAACAACCTGTTAATCTAAACCAATTCAGCTAATTTTGCTCTTCAAATAGCTTAATTAGCTATCCTTTCGTATTATATGTGCATCAACTTTGAAAGTCATTTTTTTAAATTTGTTTGTTGATTTTTTCTCTCTTTAATTTTACTAATAATCCTTTGGTTTGTGTATGATAATTGATTGTTTTAATTGTATAATTGGATTGCTCAACAAGTTGGTTGTTTAACAACGTTTGATTTGTTTCTCTCTTTAGCCGATTATCTTAACTAAAAGCTGAAGTTGAGTCGGCGGATTCTCATAGTGTCCTTTGTGTTTGTGTCTCTTTTTGCTTGCCTTTAAATAACGTCCATTTGTTGGTCTGTGCTTGTTGACACTTTCTCGCTCGATTAGTTGACTTATTCTTGTGTTCTTTTTACTTTTGTATATATACAAATCTGTTGAGTAAAATGGAGACAAATCTGTCACAGCCCATTTATTTCCTTCAAACCGCAAAGGTTTCTGATAATATGAAACAAGCATTTACCTCTTTAAATCGGGAATTTTTGAAACCAACTTGGATTAGTTTTGAAAATGTGGAAAGATTGGCCGATCAATCTCCAGGATCGGTATTGGTTATTGACGCGATCGACTCAAGAGAAGCGAAAAAGATCCGATCTATGTGTTCCCAGAAATTCAAAGAAAATCGTGATGTTAGCCCTAAATACATCGCCTTAAGAGTCTTTACCGCTTTCGCACTTCTTTCAATTAACCCAAGGGAAATTAAACATCTACCACTATCAAAGTATCCAATTACCAGTATTTGCATGAAGAATTGTCATGTTACCGTTTCTGGTTTTGGACTTAGGAGAGGTAAACAAATCTCCAAGAGGCTGTTCAGCATGGGGGCTCCAGTGAAACGTGGCCTACATGAACGGACTCGTTTTGTTATTGCCGATAATTGGACCACTGCTAAAGTTACTCATTTACGACGCTTTTGTGATGCCCCCTGTATAATTAAACCTGAATGGGTTGAAAGGTGCTGGGAAATGAGGGAAAATCTTAAAGATGCCAAAGAGATAGTTGATCAATATAAACTCCCGATTTTCGCTGGGATGCATTTCTGTCTTTCTGGGGTAAGTTTTACATCTTAATTTTCTCCAACTTTATTCTAATATTTTAATATTTTCTTATTTTTTTTTTGCTTTCTTCAGTTTGACACCAATACGAGGACTAAAATGGTTAGAACCATAAAAGAAAATGGTGGTACCTATTGTAAAGGTTTACAGTTACCAAAGTACAAATTTCCAGGAGAAACTCAAGTTCATTCACGAAGTGAATTGGGAGCATCTACTTCTCCTTACACTACTCATTTAATTGTTTCTGAAAAAAAAGGTCCCAAGTATGAGGCAGCCATGAAGCTTGATGATCCACAGCATCAAATATACATTGTGAATTTGGATTGGTTGATTGTTTCCAGAGATTATCATTTTCCCCAACCCGAAAACGATCCTCGATTCTGTGCCCGTGATAAAGAAGCCATTTTGGAAATAAAGAAAGCAGAGTTTGAACGAAATTTCAAAGCAGTATTAGAACTAACTCAAAGACCAAATGGTAGTATGCACCGAAATTCAGTCGAGAATTCTCAAGAAATCCAAAAAACACAAACATCTTTGGATCCAAATGTTGAATTACAACAATTACTCAATTCATCGCCTATTTTGGACGCTGAACGCGACAAAATCTTTAAAGATCTTAGCTTTTTCATCTGTGGCTTTGCTCCTGCCGATCAGGCAAATATCAAGAAATACATTTCTCGTTGTGGTGGAACTGTTTATACCGATCTTGTCGCTACAGTTACTCATGTTATCTGCGGACATCAAATGGCCAGTAAAGACGCTTTGTCCATAAGAAGGCACCATGACAAAGTTCGTCCCATTTGTAAAGTTAACCTTGAATGGTTATTAAACTGTGTTCGAGGTAACGTTCTCCTACCTGAAGCGATTGATGCACCAATTGAAAAGTTTCTCAATCGAATCCAATCAACCCAAGACTTGGATCAAGATGAGCGGATGGAAATATTTAGAGCTCGAGCGGAAACAAAAGCCACTGACATGGACAATAAATTAAAAGAACTCGAGGCAATCGAAGGATCAAATGGAAATCGTCCTAATGGTAAAAGGAGATTAAGAATTGGCGGTGGCAATTCACCAATCAAAATAACCAAAATCACTAATCACAATGAAACAATTGATTCCACTCCTTGTCCTATTCTTTATCGATATGAAGACCTTTGATAATTTCATAAATGACTTTTTCTTATTCTTTCTCTTTCTTTTTTCTCAAAACAATTTGTACCTGTTAATTGCCTTATTATGAATCACCTTGTTAACAATTTATTTGATTCAGTTATTAAAATTTTTCTCTGACTCACAAAATTATACATGTGAATAATTTTTTCTTTGTAACTTTTTTACAATCGACATTTGTAAGCTAAATAATAGCTAAATTTACTATGATTAAACAATATACTATTGTAATTATTATTATATTTTTGATGAAATAAATTTTCTTTTTTCTTTATCAAAACATGAATTCAATGTCTAATTGTTGGTTTTACATCATCAATTTTCAGCTCCCGGTGAGTCCCATCACAAAATGGCCGATGGTTTGTTTGTTTACAATTACAGAACCAATAATCTTTTGTCTCATTGCATTCAAATGGAATCGGTTTCAACTTGATATCATAATGTTCTACCCTGTGGGTTCCATCACAAAATGGCTGTTGAAGAAAAGATTTAAGATAAGATTGAGAAGAAAAAATAGAATATCAATAATTTTTTCGTAACAAATTAATTTCCAAAGGTTTTAAATCGGATAAATACCTGATTCCTTGAGTAACCACATGAACACCAAAGGTAAATTTTACCCGAATTACATTTCACTTTAATTGGCTTAAGAGAATATACTTTACCCTTATCTTTTTGATGATATTCCCAGAATTTGTCTTTGGCTTCTTTTAAATTCAATTTCTCTTGAATATCTTGTTCACTTGGTTCATTTAGATCATTAAAATCTTTTGGTGATTTAGATGAAGATGAATATCTGAGAGGACATAATGTGACACTATTCAGACTAATTTTATGAATAATTCGTCGAGTGACCATATTAACATGAAGAGAAAGAAAAAAACCAAAATTCTTAAACAATTAGTTAATTAAAAATTAGAAGAACAACAAAGAGATCATTTCATTTGAAGAATAGAAAAAAAATCAGCTGATTAACTCATGTGATTTTCTTTCGTGGGCGGAGCTTATTTTTTGTTCTTTTCTTATTTTTTGCTCTTCAAAATGAGAACCAAATTTAATTTACTTCTAATTATTTAGCCTTTAATTGTATACAAATTTAATTGACCAACAATTATATTTTCTATTTTGTAAACTTGACCGTTATGAAGGTTGTGAAGGTATTCCTGAAAATTATCAATACAAAATGGAGACAAAATGATGATGAAAAAGGTAAGTTTTTAATTGTGTGATCTTAATATTTGATTGTAATTGATTTTGTCTAATTGTTTATTATCATTATTAGATTTGATTATGTAACTTTTGATCCTGTTAAATCAGTGGTGGAAAAGTAGATTGAAGTTTAACCATAAGCTGACAATGAAATGATTTTATTACCTGGAAACGTTTCAATAATGATAAACAATCAATGGCAACAAATCATGATTATTTCAAAAAGGGTGACAATTTATCAATTGTTTCAATAAAATGGATTGTGAATATTGTTCATATTTTAATCATTGTTAATTGGGTTGACAACAAACTGAAAAAGGAATAATAATGTTGATTCAAATTCTATCAATCGTTTGTCTTTTCTTAGGTGAGTTTTTGCTTCCAATGTAACTTTATAACTCATAGACAATCAGTTAATTACCTTCTTTTTTTTTCTATTAGCTAAAGATATTGCCTGCGATTCTGTTGAAGACATCTCTTTCCTTCAAGATGCCATCATGAAATACAGTCCAGCCTTGATTAAGGACTTAATGACCAACAGAATTGAACACACCATGGAACACATTAAGTCGGTTGGATCATCAGTCGGAATCAATCAAGATCAACGATCATTGTGTGATATAATTCATTCATCTTTGAATAATTTAGCCCAAGATATAAAGTCAATGGATAAAGATCAAGTTATTTGTATTCCTAAAGGGATCAATAATTTCCAGAAATCAATGAAATATTACATTACCCAATTCTCATTGTTGATTGAAACATTTGCAAATCAATTTGAAATGTTAAAAACACCCATTTTAACCCAATTAACGCCCGACTATTTACTGAATCATCTTAAAGCCATTGACTCATCAGCTACCAAGGAAAAAGAGCTTATTAATGCTTCACTCAAGGGATTAGCCGCTTACATTGAAGACGTTGAAATCAAGGCCAATGAAACGACATCAAGTCATTCCCAGAAAGTGTTTGCCTCCTCGATTGTCCGACAATTACGTGGTTTATCAAACCAAGTGAAAGATTTATCGAATCAAATCAATCCATCCAACCCATCCAACTACAAATCAATTTTAACCGAAATCCTCAATCAATTCAAACAATATATCGACATATTTTACAGGCAATTTTCAATGTTGGCGGAAATTGTCACTCCTGATACCGTTTCTTCCGGAGTTGAATTGAGTGTCTAACCTGAGAATGTAAAATATCAACAATCAAAGATAATTCCTTAATCAATTCATCCGATTTATTTAATTACAGACAAAGATCAAAATAACAGCCAAAATATATCAAGTAGTCAATAGTCCAGCAAAAAAAAGTTATTCATTAAGTTACACTTGGAGAAACAGAATCAAGTCATAAACCTTCCTGATGGAATCTGATAAATATCAAAGAGAGAGTAAAAAAATGAAACAAGAAAAAAAACTCTTTAAGTAAATGGAAGCAAAAAAAATCAAGTATCATGTACAAAGGATAAAAGATGTAACCAGAATAATAAGAAACAATCAAATTATTTGGTAACAATAAGTTGATCGTGAATGATCATGAAGTGATATATTATTAATCTTTGAGAAGAAAAGTAGCCAGAACTGACCAGTAATAGTAATTCTTTTTTCTCCAATCACTTTAATTCATCTTCTTGACCAACATAACTGTTTTATTGAAGAATTAAGAATCTGAAATGATTACAACTCCGAAATGAGAATAGGAAACAATATAATAAAAAAAATGAATACTTCGATTCCAATGTAATCATATTATTAGTTTGCTCGCAGCTAATAAGTTACCAGTTAATATTAATCTCGATAAACAATCAACATTATCGTTATTACATTACCATTGAATTGAATGTTACAAGAAGAGTTGACCATTGGTCACTCCAAATAAATCAACAAAATGGAAGGTGTTAATTGTCACATGTAAGATTGTACAAAGATTCACTCATTCTGGTATAATATTAGTTTAAATTAACTCCTGGTAAGTGTTCATAAAGTTGATTGTTCATGAAGCTGAACATCATCATGAAGATAATGATGAACATACTATTATTAGTTATCCTTTTATCTGATGATTTTCATGGTAACTTTTTCGTTTCCTGTTTGGTGAAAGCAATCAGAGGATTTATACATATGAAAAAATAGCGAATTGAACTGAGTAACATGAAGGCATTTCCATGAAGATGAACATGAAATGATCCAAGTGACCATCATGATTATATAAACATCATCATCATCATCATCAAGATTATTGTTTATTCTGTAGAAACAATTGCAATCGAAATCATTAAGAACATTATGGAAACCATGTTACCAATAATGTTACTTTTTCTTCATGATATTCATGATAATCTCAATTGTATTGAGTCTATTCTGTATTTAGAATTGAATTTCAACTGAATAACCATGTAAGTGAATACATATTATTATTATTACGACTAAATTGTCATTTATTGGTAGATTATTTTCTGAACAATTTACTAAATGATTGTTTAAACTGTAACTCAATCACTTGGGTGAAAATCATAACCATTAAGTTAAATTGTTGTGATACTTTAATCGATTATTAACTTGATATTTCAATTTGATTGGTCTCATTTAATCATCATTAACAATTAAAGATCAGTAGTTGAATCATGATAATCACCATTGATTGTCATTAATAATATTTTTGTTACGATTTTTCAATTTGGTTACCTTGAGATTGTTAATCACAATTAACTGATTATTTTTCCACCCCTGAAATTGATCAACTCACGATTGATTTAATTAATCTCAATGGTGAAACTATTTCCTATTAATTAGTATTAGCTTAATTGACTCTCTTGCAATGTTAATCAATTTTGATTCATTCTTAATTCTAATTTAATCAAAGTTTAATTAGACTTGAAGATTATCATTCACAAGTTTAAAACTGATTTGATCAACTATCAAATAGATTCCCATTGATTAATGATCTCTGTTGACTTTAATTAAATAAGTAGACAAAAGTTTCTTAGTTAATTAGCCTAGAAAAGGACTTTCAATCACAATTAGATTAATTTAATCATCGCTATTAGATTAACTTTAATTGTTAGAGTGTTTCATTTGTTTCAAGTCACAAAATCAATGAGCAATAACTAAATTGTCACGTTTAATTTATTAAAACGTTAATAATGATGACGATTAGTTGTAATTGTGATACAAACAAAATGATTAAAAAAAAGCAGAGAGAAAACAATTAACTGATTCATTGATTTGAGGTCAAAAATTTGGACCGAAAGTGAAACTTAATGACCAACGGTCAAGCAAATCAAACCTAATGAGAGGACTTAAGAAAACATCACAATAATCATCATCTAATGATAATAGTTACAATAACATGGAACATGGCTCATGACAGAATCTATTTCAATATAACTCAACCATTGAATTCATTGAGACTGAACTTTTTTCCCTGACGCATGAATTTCTCGTAACATTTATCATGAAAGAATAGTTCATTAAATGTTTACCATTAGACTTGAGGAGAACAGGAAAGTTTTTCATTTCTTTCACCGTTGAGATTAAATTGTCAATCAATTAGATTACAATTGGAAAAAAAAATCGAAAATGATACAAATCCAACAATTAAAATAAAGTGAATTGTTTGATTGTATCGATATACAAACGATAATAATAAACCAAATTGTTGTCAGTTCAATTGTTTACGATAATATTTCATCATGGATTTAATTTGCTGTGTGATTATAATCGTTTGATTGATTGTGACAGTTTAAATTGTTGGTGTCAAATCATCGTCCACATTATGGATAAGACCAGATTCATTTCTGATTCATCGTCATCATCTTCATCCGTTTCGACGGTTAAAAATACTTCCACTTCCGTTCTAGCTTCATCGCCGACATCACTTCCCTCTGAGGAAATCGATGAATCTGGAATTTATCAAATTCCACCTTTATTAATTATCTTTCTAACGGTAATGTATCTACTTGTATCACTTTCTGCAATCATTGGTAATTCAATGGTTCTTTGGATTGTAATCAATTCCAAGCGAATGAGAAACGTAACCAACTTTTTCATCGCCAATTTGGCCGTTGCCGATCTGGTCATTGCTTCCCTTGTAGTACCCTTCCAATTCCAGGCCGCTTTACTTCAACGTTGGGTATTACCCATTTTCATGTGCTCTCTTTGCCCAACTGCACAAGTGATCTCCGTTAATGTGTCCATATTTACCTTAGTCGCCATCTCACTTGACCGTCATCATGCAGTAACCCGACCATTGGCCACCCGAATGTACAAGAAAAGTGCCTTATACATAATCGCCTTCATCTGGTTAATATCATTCTTACTCGCAGCTCCAAACGCTATCAACTGGGAGGTTCGTTACCTTTGGTCACATCAAACGTCTAATTATACCGAACCTTTTTGCGACATTTACAATCTACCACGGGACTTTTGGCGACTTTATAACCACTTCCTAGTGGCCCTACAATATTTTATTCCGCTTTTCATAATCTCTTTTGCTTATATTCACATGGCGGTTATTTTAAGTAAAGTCGACGCAACAACCGCTAAGCGAAACGACTACACGAGAGCCCTTCAGAATAAAAGAAGAGTAAGTTATCCTTATTCTCAACAGAATTTAAATATTATTAATAGATACAAGAAATAATCGAAAGTTAACCAACATCCATTAACCCTCGATCTAAATCTAATATCCTTTTGTTTATAAGGTGAAAATATATTGAGAAGATTAAGAAAATTTTATATTAAATAATATGATCATAAGAAATTGTGAATTTTAAATAATCTCAAGTGATTCAAATTATTCTAAGCAAGTTATCCAACTGAATTTATCTTGAACTATTCAGAGACGAGACTGAGTATCAATGAAAAGATTTCATGATAATCGCTGATTTGAATTTTAAACACTCATTGAGTTTACATGATAAATGATTTTATTAACAATCAAACTGCTTTAATATTTGATTGTCTGACCCAAGATAATATCATTTGATTTTCAACAGAGAGACAGAAACTGTTGAGCAAATTGAAATGAAATTTAAATCCCAGAATTGAGGAAATAGTAAACATTGAATAATAGTATTAAAAACCAAGCAAACAATTTAGATAATAAGTTATAGTTATCAGATAAAAAGGGTGATTGAAACGTCAACTTAAAACAGAATTAGATTCAAATTGTGATCTTTTAGTTATTTATCAATGTTCATCATTTAATAGACATCATTTGGTGAATATAATAATACTTTTTCCCTGTCCACTTTAATCATACTCAGAACTATGAATGAACAATCAAACAGATTACTTTGAATAAATGGAGAGACTAATAAATAAACAAGATTTATATTTTTCTCGAGCTTTCAACAATCATGAAAACTCATATACAACAATAACCTCTCAACAGAAACACACATTGATACATTATTAGATTACTCATTATCAGAATTGATGATAATATTTCACCGATGAAACGTTTTGCCAGCAAAGAAAATGGCAGCTCAAAAGATGCTCATCTAATTCATTATCACCGGATCATTATCATAATCACCATGATTACGATGACCAATCCTTGAAAAACCATTATCACTTGTCCAGTTAACTTATAGTTTATCTGATTAACAAACATTTCCCTCTCATCGCCATCATAATAATCATAATCATCACCATTATTATCTAAGTGATAATATCTCAACATCATCTGAGTTTCTTTTTTTACTAAGGTAATATTATCTTTTATCAAACTATTAGCATCGTACTATGATGATGAACATCATCATCATCATCATTAATATCATTCAAAATAAAAGTATGATGAATCATCAATGAATGAATATCATGATTATCATGAGGGTAAAAATGAATGAATGAGTGAAAAGAAAAATATTAATAATATTAGCATATAAATACATGGGAGAATTTTAATATAATGTGATATCTTATTCAGAATCTTTATCATCTTCTTATTGGTTTATCATCATTGAAACTTTTTCCTTTTCAAGAACAACAGACCAATCATTCACCAGGAATTATTATTCCTATTCAATGTTATCTTCATGACTACTAAAGATATTTGATAAAAAAAACTGAATGATAATCAATTATTTTCATTAGATTTTCTTTGCAATTCATTCACAAATAAATTCTTATATTTCTACCATATGAATATCATGGATGAGAATCAGGAAAGGATAAAGATATTAGATGAATAACTTGGGTGGGTAAAAGTTATTTTCATGTGATTACGATAACAGCATATTATCATTATGAGTACAATTGTTATCGACAGATAATCATAATGATAATTGACCATTATTAGCATCAAGGGTCAAATTTATTCTCATAGGTAAGTTCAAGAATCTATGGGAACATAATCTCAAGTTTAATCATCATGTCCACAGGTAACATCGAAATTGGTTGTCCATCCATTGGTCATCTTTCATTTAATGGCATCATTTTAAAACAAATGACAGAACATGATCACCATCATGTCCAAAGAAAGAGAAAATAATAATTTTTTTTTCATTTTCTCTCATGATATCGGTCAGTTTTACTTTTTTAATAAGTCTACTCAAATTTCAAGAATTCAGTTTATATTAATATTATAACTCATGAAAATTTGTCCACATGTTAAGATCATATAACTTTTCATGGATCATTGAAATTACACTTTCCCTGGATATCATAGAGTAGTGACCAAGGATGACCAATGTGAGACCTTTAAAAGTTCAAAGATTATATTATACAGTGAGAACTTCATTTTCATGGGTTCATAAAGATAATGGTGTTCAATCAAATACATCATGATGATCATGAAGATTGTGATGTTGAACTTTTAAAAAAAGCGGAAGGAATGAAAATTTCCGAATGTCTCATGAATTCTGAGAAGTTCAAGACTATCTAATATTCAGTTTGCATGATAACTATCATAAAGATAATGTAAATTTTGAACATTTTGAACATTTTATCATCTTGCTGATTGTTAATCTGCTGATTTCTGATCAAACTTTATGGATACAATGAACCACCATTTAAATTATCAACAATGTTTCAGCAACAAAAAAATCTGCCACTGTAAACATGTTTACGATTTTCCTGAATTCATCATATCAGATTATTGAAATTCATGAACAGAAATAACCATGATAATTTCAATAGATAATGAGATATTATTATGTATTAGAATTCTGTTTTGTAATAATCATCATCACAATCAATTGGTTGGAAGTTATTTTTTGTTATTGTTTGAAGAAAAAAAAATAATCCATTGATTCATAAATCAACTAGTCGAGTGGAAATGATTCATATCCCATGAGAAATCAGAATTTTCTATAATTTCATCATGATCATCATGTTTCTCCTCTTAGATTTGACTTGAGAAATCTTTTGTTTTCCTAAATTAAGATACAAATGAAATCGACTGTTAAAGCCAACAAATTGTACACTCAATGTTCAAGGGATTTTTATATTTGTATTTCAATTAGACACTGGGATGAGTTTATCTCGTGTTAATTGTCAGCAATTAACATGACAATTTACATGATAATTTAGTTGCCTGTTTATTGCTTGGAAAGCATCGTCAGCATATAACATTTATCTTTACTCTTACTTATATCACCTTCATTTGTACGATAATGATGATAATCTTTCTCACTTTTTCACTCACTCATTATCTTTCATTATCTTTGTTATCATCTATTTCTCATTAAACCAGGAAAGTTCAGTTCTCTACTCAATAGAGGCTTTTGTCTTTGTCAGCTTCTTGATATTATCTCTCAAAGGAGGATCATCATCATCATTGGTATCATGATGGCTTTCTGATATCAGAATCATGTCTTTTATCTTGAGATAATAATGTCACCATTTTTTTTCTTCTTCTTTACTTCCGTAATCAATTTATCCTCTGAATTTCCCCTGAAATATGTTATTCAATATAAGTGTTCTAATTGAATTTCCATGGGTAAAGTTATGACCTGAAAGGAATCAGAAGATCACAACTTGATAAGGAAACAAATAGAAACAATTAAAAGGTGAAGATCTCAAGAGTAATTGAAACATGGTGAAGTTCAGGATATTATTATTCCGATTTTCTTCTGATTCATTGATTCTTTTGAATGACAAAAGTCAAAATTTCCGGGAGGTTCCATTTTATTTTCAATATCATGCTGAATAATTCACCATTTTTATACATGGATTATGACTCAATTTCAGCATCTTTATCTTTTTACATGATGATTGAACTTTTTCCCCCTTTGAAATTGAAGATTCAAAATTCAGTTGTACCTTTTATGGTCACGAACAGGAAGCTTTTTAAATATCTTGAGTTCAAGGTAATCATTTTTTCCAAGATGAGGAAATGCTCACAAGTTAACACCACAAAAGTTCATGGAAGTTTGTGGAAAATATTTTTCGATTTCATGATGAGAAAACAAGAAAAGTCTCATATTTCAATGAGTTGCACTTGAAATGATATCCATGATTATATCATGAAACAAGAACAAGATAGTTAATCACCTTTGAGCTTTCAAAAAAGTCTCAAGATTTTCCCGAATTCATTTCAACAGTCAGTTAATAACAATAATAAAATTTAATTACATGAACCATGAAGGTGATTATGATAATTGAGTCCAGGGAAAGAAATGAAACTGAATCATAAACCATTGGTAATATCGATAATGTTATTCAAATGTTGGTCTACTCAGAAAAAAATATCCCCTCAGGCAGTTTTTAAGTGCAACATGTTCATTATCATTTCCGTTATTGGTAAGGTGCAAATTTGATCAATAGAATAAAATTTTCATGATAATGTATCACGGGAATATGATATTATATTGATATTTGGTCTAAAAATGATCAACAATTAAAGTAAATATAGTCCATTAATCATTATCGATTCCATGAAATTGCTGAATAATTTGCTGGATAAAAAATGCTTTTTATCATTAATATTTTCACAATTTCTTTTCACTTATTCAAAATAATAATGTTCACATGTTCATAATAAGGTGATATTTTCATGGTAACAACTTTTCATTTCATCGTATCCGAATCATGAACAATTTCATGGAAGGTTTTTTTTCCCTCTTCCATCATGAAACTGATCAACTTTCAATTTCCTCTTTTTCCCTTCATCGGTAAATTGTTAATATTAAATTGATTTTCTACCTTGAAGTTAATTGTTACACTTGGTCGATTAATTTGTTTCCTTGGTTGATGATCATTCATTGACCCGCGTTAATTGTTGTTGTTACTATTTGATGGTTCAGTTGATTTAATTCATCACTTTAAGATCATTAGATTCAATTGGACCTTTTTGATTAATAATCGTTCAACTTAATCAACTAGAAATCAACAACAATTTATCCCAATCAATCAAATTGTCTCTTAAATTTTAACTCAATTTATGTTGATCACCAATTAGATTAAATTGTTGGAATCAGAAATTTAAATTATTTCAACTTTTTCTTATGTAAATTGTTCACTAATTTTATTTCATTAGTTTTTGTTTGATTGTTACAATTAAATTAATCTTCTTTTGCAACATAATCATGTCTTGAGGAACAATTTATTCAATTGTAATAAATTATCATTTCCAGA